TAATTTCTTTTTATATTTCTTTAACAAAGTATATTCTTGTTTCTTGTATAATTTTTTTAGTATATTTATTATAAATTTTGAATAAAATATTAATTACTCAAGTAAGAATAATTTCTAAAATAATATCATTTAATTAAATAATTAACTTGCTAAAATTAAATTTAAAGTTATTTTGATTGATTTTATTAATAATTGAAATTGTTTTTCAAAATTATTTGAATTCTACAAACTAAAACAAGTACAATCAAATTTCTTTATAGTTATTATCTTTGAAAAAGTAAAATTTGGTGATTATAGAGAGGATGTAACTATAGAGAGATTTTTTTTATTATATTTATATATAAATAGAAAAGCAAAATAGGATGATTATAGAAAAATATAACTATAAATAAACATAACTATAGAGAGATTTAACTGTATTTCTAAATGATTTTTAAGTATTTATTAATATAAGAAATATAACAAAACTAAATTACTTGTCAAAATACCATTTTTTTCAAAAATAATTATCTTTATACTCAAGTATATTTGCTACAGAATATTATACTATTTAAGTAATTTAGTTCTAGATTTTCTAATACATATTTGTAATGAAGTTTATTGAAGTTATATTTAAATAAAAAAATTATTATTATAATTTATAAATCTATCTTTAAGTCATATTTATTATAATACAAATATTATAATTTCTATATCTTTGACTTTAAAATTTTGAAAACACTTTCTAGCTATTTAGATTATTATATTAAAGAATACAAATTATTATTAATCTTTAATATTTAACTCATATTTAGTTTAATAGTTATAAAAGATTATTAATATTTTGAATTATCATTTCTTTGAATATTTCTTTGAATATTACAAATATCTTTGAGTATTTTAAAACTTAAACAAAATATAGTTAAATTTCTCTATAGTTATCATCCTTGGAAAAGCAAAATTTGATAAATATAGAAGGAATGTGATTATAAAAGAATTTTTTACTATATTTATATGTAAATAAAAAAAGCAAAATAGAGTGATTATAGAGGAGTATGACTATAAATAAATATGAATATAAAGAAGTTTGACTGTAGTAACAATATCAAGTGCTTTTTCTCTAGAGTATTTTATATCAAAATTAGTATTAGTTACATATACTCTTTCTAATATTCTATTTTTATTATTATTATTATTGAATATTTTAATTTCAATATCATTTTTTGAAATGATTAATTTATATTATTTATTTTTAGTTATTTGATCTTTTTATTTCATGTATGAGATAGGTATTTTTATTTTTTTACTTTAATATTCAAATGTTAATAATTTTTTCTTTTAATCTAAAATACTAAAATTGTTATAAGTTCAATTATTTTCAAATAAAAGATTATAATCATTTTTTCAATTATAAGTATATTAATTTTAAAATTTTTGTTGTTTAAAATAATTGATAAATTTATTACTTTACCAAATAATTTTTATTTTATTCTATTATTTCAACTAAATTAATATTAAATTATTATATTTTTTAATTAATCTTCTTCAAAAAATTATTTAATATAATATTATTTATAATTTTACTATTAATAATAATAATTATTATTTTTGGTAATATTATTAATTTAATATATATTTTCAAAATTTTATAATAATCTTGAACATTTTTATAAAAATCAACAATTTTTGTAAATATTATTTTCTTATTGATAATATAATAATTAATTAAATATTAATAATATTTGCAAGTTTTTCAAATTTAATTGAATTATGCATTATCTATAAATATTTGTTTTAGTAATATTTTTTTACTATTTTTTTATAATTATTGATAATTTTTTTAATTTTCTTCAAAATTGATATTAATAAATTGTTTTGAATTATAATATAATTATTTGAATTTTGTAATTTAGCTAATTGTTCTCAAAGTTTTTATTGTTATTAATAAGCTTTTCTTTGTATAGAAAAATTTGTAACTTCTTATTATAAATTATATATATATATATTTAAATTTCTTGTTTATTTTGATAAGAGTGTTTTTTTAATAAATTACCAAATTAATTAACTAGTTTAATAGTTAAATTTTTCAAATAACTTTAGTGCAGTTAAAAATTTATTTTTCACAGATTTTTTTTATTAATAATTATTATTCCTTTGAAAATTTTTTCACAAAGAGATTATCAAACTTTGTTATTATTTTATTTTTGTTATAGGAAAATATATGAATAATAAAAATAATATAACAAGTATATAATACTTATTTATTATCTATTATAACATGTTGCAATTCCAAAATTTTATAAATCACAATTAATTGTAACTAGATAATGCTTTATTTGTTATTATATTATAATAATTTTCATATTATTTTTAGTAGATAACATATAAAACTAAATTAAATATAAGAATTATATAAAATAATATTAAAGTAAGAGAAAGAATATAATATCTAAAATAGATAATATATAATTATTTGTTAATTAGTTAAAGTGAAATCAGAAATATTCAAAGATAATTATATTTTTTAAATTTGATTTATAAATAAATAGAATATTAATCATTTATTTATTAATTTAATTATAAATTATAACTTTGTAATTAAAACAAGAATAAAATTTCAAAAAAAAATCTGATTTAGTTCAAGTCTGGTTCAGTTCAAGCTTGAATTAAACTTGAATCTAATCAAAAATCTGGTTTTAAAATTCAAATCCAATTAAAAATCTAATTCAAGTTTTAATCAAATAAAAAATCTGGTTCAAGTTCAAGTTCAAGTAAATATTCAATAAAGTTCTAAATAAAGTTGTAAATTTTGATTAGAATTACAAATTGATATAAGATAATTAATATTTAGGATGAATATTTAAGAAGTTATATAGATTTGAAAATAATTTTAATTTGCTTTTGCTATAATATATTAGTAAATAAATAATTTTTCAATAAATTAAATTTTGAACTATATTAAAAATTTGAATTTTTTAATTTAATAAAAAATTTCACAAATATATTCCAAATCAAACTCTAAACCAAATATAATTTATTCTTCAGCACTAATCCTAACCCTAACTCTGGATTACATTCCTATTCTAATTTGGATCAATTGTAATTTGGGATAATTGTAATTTGGAACACAACATATAAGAAATTCAAAAAAATATATAGTAAAAATTGAAATTTTCTCTATAATAAAATTTATTTTTATTAGTAAATATTTTGTTTTTTTTTTATCAAAATAAAGCTAAGAATCTGTATTTTAACATATTTTTTAATTTAATTTCAAATTTTTCTGTTCTCAAAGGAACCTCTACCACTGCACCTATTCACATAATCAACAGCATTCTCGAAGACAACAAAGAAATCTGGTGTGCTTTTCAAGAAATATTTCTGATTGTGAAGTTAATTACACAAACTTTTATAATTAAAATAAAATAAATATACCGTAATTCGCAACTATGGGTACCCCCTTATATTATACCCTCCATTAATAATTTCTTTTTTTTACTAATTAAATTTGTTCGTAAAATGAATGGTACCCGGGTACCCATAGTCGCGAATTACGGTAATTGAAAATGTACATTTAGATATTAGCTCAAACAATAAAATTGAAAAATAATGATGCGAATAAATTCTAAATATTAAGACGATTCTCGGTTTAAGAAAGACTTGTTTGTAAAAGCCGATCGTTACTCTGCCGTACTTGTCAAAGAAAAAGAGAATAAAGGAATATGGGGTTGATTGTGAATGAAAAAAATTACCAAACCTATATGTGTTAACGATGATGTAATATCCTGCTAACCATATTAATGTGTCTATCATCTGTCCATCATCTGTCCAATGTGATTGACAATAGGATCGCTGATTTGTGTTATATTGTGAATGAAATGAGGCGTTGGGCTTTGAATATAAATAAAGAACTACTTTTAAAATTTATATCATTATCAAATTTTTCGGCAAAATGATCAATTTTTGCAATAACAACAGTAATATTATTAGTCAAGAAAATAAAGTTAAATATGGATATACTTTTGGTGAGCAATTTTTTAAGTAATTGTGATATAAATAAACAAGCATTAATAACTAGTTTTCATTAATATAGAAAATCCAGGCGAACCGGTTGTGCGCATAATAGCACCCAAAAAGCTTGAAAAAATACGATTAACACCGACAAGACAAAAATTTGTATTTCAAGGAACAAGAACACGCATACTAGAATGGATGCTCAAAAACGAAAATATAATTGTAGAATATGATCCAACAGATGGAATGCTAACACCACCAGTTTCACCGCTCGCCAATGAATTTAATAATCGTCGTGGTTCAGATGCATCAAACACATCAGCAACGTCTACGTCATCAATATCATCAGCATCATCATCAAAAACTATATTTATAACTTTTGATCTATTTGGACAAACGATAAAAAACACGTCATTATTATCTGATGATGTAGTGTTTTGTCGTCCATTACATTTAGCAAAAAATCACCTGCCCTGGTTGGACGTGACACTTGAAATACGAGCGACTGATCCGATTCGAGATTCTAAATATAACCCAGTGAAACGACTGATCTTACATTCAGGTTTATCACTCTACGAAATTTCAAAAGCACTCGAAAAGAATTGGCGGAATTTAATGCCACCTTGTTTACCGTTATTTCAGCGACCACCCCCATATCTTGAACTCTCTGATGATGATATCGACGATTCAATGAATCCATTATTGGATTGGTTGGCACATCATAAATCATCCACTTTTCCAACTCCACCCATAATTAGCAGATGGCAACAAAAGAATTCTATTATTCCACCGGGTGTTTTAACGCCGTATAATATCGATGAAGTTATTGCAGATCAATTTTCAGATGTGTTGACTGAAGAAGTTCCCACGGATGGAAAAATGAAAAAAGCGTGGCAAGCTGAGGAGAAAATAGAAAAATCGAAGAGATTACGGGATATTGGGTTGCCAATATATGAAAAAGTGAAAGAGGATATGTTATTAGATTAGAGATCATTCTGATTGAAACTATAACTTGTATCGATAACGAATCTTTTCGTATTCTTTTTTGAGATTTAGATAGATTTATTAGTTGTAAAATAATTTGTATTTTAACAATTGCATTTTCTTTTATTAGCTTTTATTAGCCCATTTATTATTTTCATCACCATCATCCATTTAATTCAATCATCCATTTTTATTCAATCATTAATTTTTATTCAATCATTATTAACAATTTACATCATTATATGCATGTATCATGAATCTATATATCCGTTATTCTATCGATTTTTTATTATGCAAAAGTTTAAAAGGACTTGTACTTTTCGATTCTTCTTTTGTATGAAAATATTTGAATCATCAATGAATACAAAAGACCCAATTACAACCATCACAAAAAAAGACATCGTAGAACTGTTACACCATCCTCAACGCTATTATTGTCATCACAAATACTTTCCTTTCTCCATCGTATTTTTGCTAGTTTTATCTTTATACACGATTTCTATTATAGAGAACTCGTGTAATAATTATCATGGAGTTATTAGATTTGGCGGAGGAAAAGGAGACAACAAAGATTGTGCTTGGAATTGGAAAATGTCATTATTACCTGTTGATAAGACTTGTGAACCGAATGCATATTTAAAGAGACAGCTTGTTGCTGACGATATTTTATGGTGATATTGCAATGTATAATATGCAACGGTCCATCCATAGTCTGTCCTACTACATTTTAAATAAAAATTTCAATTTCAAAAAGCATTACCGTTACGTACACGTCCTTTCCATAAATTCTAAAGTAGAAACTCTGATACTAACCAAAACGGGGACCAATCAAAATAAAAAATGTTACACGAAAATTTGACAAACACAATCTTGGTATAGATAGGATAAGCTCAAAAAGCATTCGAGTGATATTTGAATGCACGAGAATCATTTTTTAATTAAAAAAAAAAATGGGAAGAATTCGACGTTCAAGAACACACAAAGGTATTCGTCTATAATGACATTTTCGATGTTTTACTAACCAAAGTATATCGTCTTTTCATTTTTTAATTCTCCTTTTCAAACCAGGAAACAAAGATCACTCTAAAAAATACCGGACAAGAAAATACACAAAAGATCTTGATCAAATCCATGATGACCTCTTAAAACTCGAAGGAAAAAACAGTAGCGAGAAGCTACATCAAGGACAGGAACAACCACCACACGATATAGACCCGGACCTTCCCGGTCTCGGGCAGCATTACTGTATAGCTTGCGCGTAAGGTTTAACTTTCGGTTCTTTAATTTAGAAAATAATTTTTATCATTATTATTGTTGTTGTTTATCCGTAACACTTCGCTTGCTCTGGTGTGGTGTTGTGATTAAAGTATGTCGAAGAATGAAACGAGTAAGGGAACAAAAAAATCCGATATGCGCATTCATGTTGTGTGATCATTTGACAAACCGACAAGATATTTCTTCATCGTTGTCGGTGTTCTTCCTGAAAACATTAACAGAAAAAGTCGAGACAACGGAAAAATTAATTGTTTTTTTGTTATTATCACATGCAGGCGATACTTTATTGACGCCAATGCACTCACCGAGCATTACCGTGGAAAAGTACACAAAAAAAGGCAAGTTAATATTATTATTCTTTCTCGGATCTCGTCATCATAATCAAATAAAAGTGGTTAATACATGTTTTGAATCTTGCTAAACACATCCATTCCGCGCTTTCTGCATATTCTCCTTGTGACTCTGATAGGATTAAATTGCTTAAAGAAGCACCTTATACGCAAGTAGAAGCAGAAGCTGCTGTCGGATTAACTACAGAGAACGTACGAGTTAGACTTATGGACGAAATTGTTGTATAATAAATAGCAGTAGTACGTATATTCGCAGCGGTAATAAAAATTAAGGTTATCAAACAAGAAAAAAGAAAGATCTTCAGGGATCAGTGTTTAATTAATTAATCACATACATGTGGCCTATCGCTATCACCGATACGTAACTCCCTTCCGATTACTCTGTACCGACAGAAATCTTTAGGTTGAAGATGGAAGAATAAAAGTGTGAAAATCAGTTACGATCGATGCGCGTGAAAAAAGCTTAACGAGATAGCGTTGCATATGATGTTATTTATTTACTTGCGTGTCTCAATTTTTACCGGCAAGGAAAAAGTTTTCATTTGAATTCTGCTGTTGATCTTTTTCTGCTCGCACGTGATGGACGAGCACTAAAGGAATTTTTTCAGTTAATCGATAAAAAAATCCAACGCAAGGTAATCAATCTCTGTCTCAATCAATCAATTAATCGACATGTAATTACGAAAAATGATCCACGAAACCTGCTTAAACTGGTGACAATGTTTTACAATCGCGGTACCCCACGAAATAACCACACGAGTTAATTAACAACTAACTATAATAACAGAAAATCATAATATTGTCACCAACACAGCGTGAACTTTCTGTCAAATTTGCCAATCAGGTCGTTTGCAAATTTGTGTGTTACGGATACGTTCAATTTTTCTCTGACATTTACCCCACCTTTTTCTTTGGGTAACACGAGAAAGGGGAAGACAAAGAATTTCTTTTTGTACAAATCATCCAATTTAGTTTTATACAGGTTGTGTTTTGCAACAAATAATATACACAGATAGATGTATGATCAACCCGACTGGCCTAGGTTCTAAAAAAAGACGTGATCTTCTCATTCTTCATATGAAAATGCCTCGTCCGTCTTGTAGAACCCGCAAATTTATTTTACAAAAAAAGTGTCGGAATTTTAATATAATTTCCGGTAACCGTTATTATATGTACACAGATTTCTGCGGAATTTGTAGTGGAAGAAGAGGTCGTTTGGAGAAGGGGAATTAACAGCATTGGAATTCAACTGACAATCATTAATAATTGATCAGGATTATTTACTACCGAATTTAAAAATCAATATAGGCTTTCAGCAATCTTTATTTCGCTATTTTTTGTAAGCAAAAAAAAAAAAAAAGAGGAAAAATCATTTCAAAGAGGCAGGTGGAACAATTATGTTAATGAGTAATAAGGTAAATGATCACAAGTTCACACACTCACACACAATGGATAATTCAATCTATTTTTCTTGCTCTCTTGTTTTCCCGTTTCAAATCCTGTTTGGACTTGTACACACTGTCTCTGATCAAGAATTAAGAGAGTGTATATCTAGTATCTATATCTAATATCTAATCAGTTGATATGTTGTGCCGCTTTTCTCGTGTTATGTGTACCAGTCTCTCCTTGGACATCGTGGTGTAAGCAAACAAGCAAGCAATTGTGTCGTGATAGTGTTACATGTTTGCGTAATGCATGTAGATGCTGCTAACCGCAAAAAAAATGCTGAGACTTTGGCAAGCTCCTCTTTAGGTTTGGTGCGAGGACAACAGCGACAACGACGACGATGATGATATCGATATGCGTCAGCCCTTTCCTTCTCCCGATTTAGACCAAAATTTTATACACGTACGACAACTGTAAAATTATCGTCATCATTAAATTATTCATAAGTAAATAACATACAGAATGAATTAATGAAATAGAATGAAACATAACCATCCTATCTTGATTCTTTGTGCGTCATCTTTTGCAATACCTTATCGTTATAGTAATTTTTCACTGATCCGGATCTTCATCCTCGCGCACCGCCAACACATCATCGTCACACCGTTCCTGGTCTGGTATCGTTGATGCAACAGTGGTGTCTTTCTCCTTCCCTCCTCTCTTCTTTCTCACCTGCTCTCGTTTTTATTGTGTGAAAATAAAGAAGTAGTATTTTATTCGATTAGAGGTTTGATTATGGTGATGATATATTTCCTTGAAGAGGGGAAGGAATTAATTATATTGATATTTAATTCTGGGCTCCGAAGCACGCACACGCATGCGTTTTCTTTTGCCAGTTAAATTTTAAATTATATATCAAATATATTTATATTGCGTGTTATTAAGTAATATACAATAAATAAATATGTACATTTTATTTATTGGTGTTATTTAATTTAGTTTATTTTAATATCCCCCACTAATAGTATTAACGATTATGATAGCATTACTATTCCTTTCCTTTCCTGCTATAAAAACCCAATATCGGTTTTTCTTTCTTTCTTCGTTACCTTTTTTTGTTTCAAAATTTCTCGGATCGAGATATTTTACTACTGTAATCAATTGATTAGTTAATTGATCAAGCAATAATAAATTAATAAACAAATCAAGCAAATAATCAAACAATTTTTTGTAAAAGTGTACTATTACTACATAAAAAGTTTATTATATACAAGAACAATTTTATTATCGTTTTATTTTTTTTTTAGAATTCCAATATAAAATTTGATACGTATTATAAAAATGACGACCAGAAACCAACATTATTACTACAATCATCATAATAACTATCATCATCAAATAAGTAACAAGTATAATGTGAAGAATTCGTCAATGACGATGAAAGAGAAAAATGACCAGCTTCCACTTTTTCGGTGGTTGTTGTTTCCACTGGCAATTTTTTTGACTTCGGTGAGATTTTCACTTGATCTTTGATTCGATTCGTTTCGATCCATTTTATTAACTCATTATAAATTGAAAACACAGATTCCTTCCATATTTCTCTCACAAGCAAAAAACCCCAATAAACTAGTTCCATCGTCAATCGCCACAAAAATATCCACAAATGCAAAAATCCCCGCTGGAATTGTTCTGACACCGTCACTGTCGTTCAACGGAGGTGGTGACGATGTATTGGTCACGTGTATATGGGTTATTACGATGTTGGGAGTTTCGGGGCTAGTACGAGAAAAGAAGTTTTTTGGTCATTTTGTAAGTTTTTTTGTTTTAGGTTCTAATTTGATTTTGAGTTTTGTTATTAATCTCTTTCGCCTGGATTTTCGTTTTGGTTTTAGATTGCAGCATTTCTTATCGCTTTTACTGCACTGCAAACTTTTCTCGCGTTCTGTGGGGTATTTTCTAATAATCGCGCAATCGCATCAAGTCTGAATGGTGCATGGCAAAGAGCCTACGAAAATAACAAGGACCTACTTAAAGAAATTCAATACGAGGTAAATTATTTTCCAGATATCGATATACGAAAATTATTTTCCAGCGTATAATTGATGTCTTATGAAATTTTTTTGCAAAGTTCTCGTGTAAGGGATTTGCATCGATCGATGATCGACCCGTGGAAATTACGGAATCGTATGATGTTTCGTGTGGAATAGTAATGGTACAAAGATTCGGACCGCAACTTTATTATGTTGCAATGATGTTGCTTATTTCGAGATTAGTTCAGGTGAATAAGAAATGTTAATTTGTCCTAATGTATGCAAACAAAATGACATTTATTCTCACCATCCTTCTTTTGTATTAATTAAAGTCGATCGGGGTATTTGCATTAACATACATATTCCAAAAACTCACACCACCATCGCCACTTAACGAGAATCCTGAATTCTTAATGGATCATTATCAAAATGAAGAACTGGAACTAGATTCAAGTGCACATTACAGCGCCAGTATTGTTTCCGGGATATATCGATATTTTGCATCATCCACTATCAACGATAATATTCATCAAATTGATGACGGTGAAGATGATGATAACGAAGAGGAAGATGAAGACGAACATTTACCAAAATTATTGTTTGTTTTTGATATTGACGAAGACGATGAGGAAGACGTTGACGATGAGATTGTTATTTCGAAGTCATGATTTTCGAGTCATGGGAACAATGAATGATTCGATTCAATTCGATTCGATTTGAATCTCATTCTCGGCAAATATATTGTTAAATAATGTAAAAACAAACCTTGTAAATCTTTCATTCATCATTCCCTTCCTTGCATTTGTAAATCCTTTCTTCCCCTTAACCCAAAAAAGTAAAATCATTTTTTAGAATGATGCCATTTTATTTTTATGTAAATATTTTTCTTTTCGACTTAATTGTACAAAAAAAAGAGATCATCCCCCCCCCCCCCACTTTTTCTATTTTATTATCTATCTATATTTTCTTTTTTGTAACAACTAAAAAAATTGATTTGTATCACAGGTAGATTCAATAGCAACTTCAATAACTACAAAAGATAATTCTCATGCCCATCTCGTCGGAATGTTAATCGATATTTTATTGTTGCAATGCCGCATATTAACGAGAAGAACTATTCGTGTGTATACACAGGTAAATGATAGCATACGTCTTAATAAAAATTGTCAAATCAGTTAACCTCGATGAATACTCTATATTATCTGTTATGACAATGAAATCGTAGATTGAACTACATATCGATATCGATATGGTAAAGATTTTTGAAAGTTACAATGTTTTTGCCTTACCATAAACATGGTCAGTAGAGTAGTACCATTGCAAAATGGGCATCATTTTACACTTCGTTCTATCAAATACCCCCAGATTAATTAGTAATTCCCTAATTAGATAACTATAATAAAATGGAGCGAGAAAAAGGAATAGAAAGAATAACCATTTAGGATTTAACTTCATAAAATATTATGGCTGATTTAAAGTATAACCGGTTGTAAACGATTAATTAGTGTGGCGGATTAAAATGAAATCAGATTAAAACGAAACAGTGGGATGTTTAAATAATCATAGGTCAATATATTACAGATTTTAATGCTATACTCTAACCCTAACCCTAACCCTTCTCTGAACTTTTTATCCCATAAAAAAAGAGCCAAATTTTATTTTGATTTGATTCTATTATAATCTGATTTCATTTTAATCTGGTTTCGTTTTAATCTATCACAATTAGTAAGGGTATGGATTTTTGTATTTCGAAAAAATGTGGGGACAGTAATATAACATATAACCGATTAATTGGTTGAAACCGAATTAAAACCGGTTGCAATTTTCAAGGTGTTATTAAAACCGGTTTGTAAAAATCTAACCAGTTCCAACCTTTAGAGCGAGAGGAGAAAAAAGAGACCGATTGATTACTTCTATTTTTTGATAACAAATATTCGTTAAAATCGTTGCTTTCTTTTTAATTTCTACCCGAAAAAAAGAGAAGCTGCTTTATATGGTGAAAATTTGGAAAAGAAATATATAATATAAACAAAGAAAATCAATCCATCCATCGATAAGAAAAGAGCGAGACAAACAAGCAAGAGATCAATTATAATAAGGAAAATATCAAAGTTCGATTCGTATTTTTTAATATATAATTTTTAAATTCATATTTGTGTGTGTAATATATATATATTATTTATATAATATAATGACGATGAAGATGAATGTCAAATAAAATTTTAAGAAAAATCATAAATTAATAATTAAAAACTAACAAATATATTTGGTGATGATTATATCAAAAAAAAAAAGAATCAGCATAGAAAAAGGGGAAAAGGAAAGGGTTGTTTGTTTTTTATAACTGCACTTTATACAGAAGAAAGGAGATAGAATAATTTGCTATCCGTCATTAAAGTCCAAATAAACAGACAGGATATTTAAATCTGACAAAGCGAGGGTCCACTATATTATAATATTAAACTATCAGCCTATTATAGTATATTTTTTTGCCGATCTATTGCTAATCGTTCAACCCCCTTTCCTTTAACTCTATTGCTATTACTATTACTATCATTATTATTATTATTATTATTATTATTATTTACGGTAGTCACTTGAACAAAACCATTCTCCTGTCCATTTTCTGACGTTATAAACGAATATGCGTTATCCCCATCGTTACCGCAAAACCGTACGCTTATATGAAGCCCATCTTCATCATTATCGCTAGCACTGGCAGACGATATTCCCACATCTTGTGCTGAATATGGATGTTTCTCGCGTGTACGTCGTTCTGATGGTCCTGATGACGATGAACTCATTGATCCTTCTTCCTCTTCTTCTACAATCTCATTTAACGTTTCCGCTCTGTCTCGAGTTCTTGGTAGTTTTGGCTTGATAGAAGATCCACTTTCACCGCCATTACTATCATTATCTTCGAATGTTCCTATTCCCGCGGTATTAAGTATTTGTGGGGGGCTTGATGGCAAAGTACGACTTAACATTCCATTTTCGTCGTTCTCTTCATGTCCATTACCAGTTTTTCTATTATTTTTTGGTATAGGAATTGTCAATGATGTGGACGATGTGGATGCTGTAGGCGAAGTCAATGAGGGTATACGATTTAAAGCACTGAAAAGCACTTCTTTTTCTTGTGCCGTGAGCAAACGACCATTTATTTGAATTTTGTCTAACTGAGTAGATAGATTAGTAGTGGTTGTTGCATTATTATTCGTGTTAGTTGATGTTCCATTGGTTGGTGAACTAGTAGTTGTATTACTAATAACAGTAATATTGTTCTGTACACCGCTATTATCATTAACGATAGGAATGGGTGACGCTTCCGAGATGTTATTGGTGTTATCATTTTCTTGTCTATTAAAAGTCTGATTAGCAACCGCCGAATTTTGATCGTCGATTTGATGAAGAATGGCTCTTTCGGAAGTAGTTGAAACAGCAGCACCACAGGTTGCTGTTACAGAAGATGCACCACCGGCGGTGGATGTAACGTTACCATCTTTTTTTGCAGCCGATTCTTCTTCAGCCAACAATTGTTCCCAATCAACCTGATTTTCAATATTTGCCTCAAGGTCAGCAAAACTTCTACATAATGGACACAAAAATCCCGGATGATGACTAACAAGAATCGGTCGTATGCATTTATAGTGAAATACGTGAGAGCACGGCGCAAGAAATAACGCTTGAAAAGGACCGATGCCGCATAGACAGATACAACAGTCTGTGGTTTGATGTTTGAATGCATCCGGACCAGTTAATTGTTTCACTTGTTTTAGAGCATTAAGACTATTAGATATATGAGATTATGTTATTAATATTGACCATATATAAAGATGATGCTTGATGCAATTTTAAGAAGACGGCGAGGACATACTTGAAATGATTGATCTTTCGTTGCCAAGAACGATTTAATTCAATGCGCATTTTTACACAACGATAAATCTCTACCGTCAATTTTTGATGAATAAAAAAATTAAAAAGTTAGAATCGACTCGTTTCGCGCAAATGGTCGAAAATAAAATACAAAATTATCTAACACCTTCAGTTCCACCCTGGTAATCTACGCCGAGTTGGACCACATCCCCATCTTTTAATGGATGTGGCTTACTTTCTTGACTTGGTGACGATAATCTAACGTGGTTTAAAAAAGTTCCAGACGAAGATTTCGTATCTCTGATGAAAAACTATCAAAGAGAATAAAATATTAAAGTCTCGAAACGGATGCACGCAGAGAATGTTCCGTTTACCGAAATAGATAAACAAAAAAATAAATTTACTGCAGACCTTTCCATTTTCACACCAAATTTCCGCGTGACCTCTAGACACTACTTTACTCTTAAATGTGACTCTATTAGGGACGTGTGCCTTGTCGGTGAATCTACCAATCTTTATGATTGAGCTTTCGGGTACTTCTCGTTCAATAATATCAAAATGTAGCGAACGAGGACCTTCAATGTGTGGAACTATGCGAATAGAGGGAGTTTGTTCTTGTTGCTGTTGTGGTGACATGATTGGCCTTTTTATGGCTGTTGCCATCAAAGTTTTTTTACTCTATTATCGTTCTTGTCTGTTATTACGGGGATTGGTGTTGATATTGCGTTGAGTAAAAAAAAAAATGTGTCTAGCTGTTCAGTCCTTCTGAAGTATAATGGTATGATAATTATGTGTAATAATTATGTATCGGTATAAAATAATATTAAATTAGTGAATTTTCTTTTTGAACTTACTCGAGAAGGGGGTGTGGGCTGAGTAAGTACCCTATAATAAAAAAAAGCGAGACACACACAATATGCGTGCGACCGGGATTTTGACTATTGCATACGTACTACTATAAATCCAATAATGTGCTTACACGTGATCTTGTTTTTGTCTTGTGCTTTAAATCCGCGTTGTGTCATCAGTTTTGACTTTTTCTTTCTCATGCATCATTTTCATTTCTTATCTTTCATTCTCGAAGATCAACAAGAACGTCATATTGCTATAATGTGGTATTTTTATCTTCATCGGCCATTCCATAAAATCCGAAGGTTTTCAGTAGATTTATCCGAATGATTACACAATTGCGAAAAAAACTACTCGGATTTTTTATGGATTTTACCGGAGAAATATATATTAATTCGAACTTACTATACACAAATACAATGGCGAAAAACCGCTAAGTAGATCACATTGACAGCACACATACGTAATAAAGACGAATTCCGACCCAAGTTCTTATTCCTCACTTTCAAATATTTATTATCTTCCTTTAGAGTTAGAGTTATTGATTTTGGTGTTATATTGGTTTTCTTTATTACAATTGATCAGGCCTGCCTTCCTTGATAGAATGATTTTATTTCCTATTAATCATTCAATGTTTTTTCATGATGAAAATATTCGCACAAAATATAATAAATACCCATCACTCATCATTATCTACAGTCAAAGTTGGATATAAACTTTCTGCTCGTTACAATGATAATGACATTTTTCATATGTTTACAACTGTATCGTTATATGCAGCTTTGACTGTACAGTCATTCTACGCCTTCACAATGTCAAGTTCAACTCAACTGTCTCCAAGCTTGTTTTCCTTTGGTATGTGAATAAATTTATTATCCACATAATATCGCGTTACATGACTGACTGAGATGTTTTCTTCGTGTTTTCCTTTGAATAATCGAGGCTTCGATATCGATATGCTTAGCTTTTAATAGACTAAAGCCACAAATAAAGTAGCACATTGATCATATGCCCATTTGTGGAAAGTATGATTTTTCAATGACAAATTGGAATTTTAAACCATTTAATTTAGAGAATTAACACAGAAAGCGCTTTTTTTTGGTTACAATCCATCTATCCTTAGATGTTTCATATTGTTTTTTTATATGCTAGTCTAACTTTTTAATGCTCTTTCATGTCATGCACATTATAGATACAAAAGGTCGATCTTACGCGCGTGTGTCATTTGTGTTTCGCTCATTCGCCTTTTTAACTAATTTATGAGGAGTGCCACACATTGTTTTGTATTAATTGATTTGATTGGAATAATATAATGCAATTATTTGTCCATCTTTCTCTTCTTCTCCATGTTTTCAATCAACAGCAAGGTTAGAACATAAACTATACAGAATACAAGTTTTTGAGAAACTTTATTTTGTTCAAAAAAAAGTTCTACAGCGACAACAAAAAGCCTCGTTTTTTTTTTCTTTTGATTTTTTCTTCCATTATTTTTTTTAGAAGGTAGTGCATGGTCACCTCGCCTCACATAGAAGTCTTGCCCTCTTGCTGTTGGTTAAACTTCCATTCTATTATACTTCATAATACATCAATCATATTTGAGGGCAGAGACGCTCTTTTTTTTCGTCTTTATTTTTGTTAATATTTTTTAAATTAACTTTCGTAAACATACGCAAGAATGTCCGAACAACAACAATATTCATTTCCACAACAACAGCAACAATCTTCGCCTCAACAACAATACCAACAACAACAACAACAGTATCCACCACCTCCATCACAATATTCGCAACAACAGAGACAACAATACTCATTTCCACAACTGCAACAACCATATAGAAGTCCAACACCACTTCAACAACAGCAATATTATTATACTGATGAAAACGGAAGCGGAAGAAACACATCAATAAACGACGAATATCCACCGCAAAAATTTTCTAATGATCAGAAATCAGCACAAGGCGTGCGAGCCGCGTTGGATGATGATTACGAACAGAAATTAGCGTCTGGACGATCAGAATCACCAATTGCGGATCCTGGCGGATGGCAATATCGGCCACCTCATTATGGTCACATTATAACAAAAGGCGAAATAATTAATCGAATTGTATCATATTATGAAGTATGCATTTGTTTATTTTAATATTTGAATTGATTTTTTGAGGTTGCTAATAATAATAATTATTATTATTATTTCTATTTACAGATGTTTATTGTTAATGCCTTTCTTTTGGGATACAAAGTTCTCGAGAATGCACACCAAGCAGTCGTCGGTAGCACATACCGAATAATATTATTCGACGCATGCACTGATCGTTGGAGAATTGAAGATTTCGACTTCTGTGCCGCATCACGACTGATAATTGGATTAATATTCGGTGCAATAATTTACTTTATCATAACAGGATTGGTCGCGATTGGTATAGCCATAGAACTTCGCCGTAAAGGATTCCATTCGTCATTCACCGCATTATGGAATTCGCCGCTGTTCCTGTTTTGTTTCTTTTTTCCGGAAAATAAACGTGTAGACATTCTTACTGTCCCTAATAAATATGTGAATTTAGCGCTTTGGACGCGTGCTCATATCCAGCGAATTGCGATGGCTGTTTATGCGTTTGTTTGTGTGGTTTTGGTACTTCATTCTTTGACTAAGGGGTAAGTGATTTTTTGTTTTTTATTGTCATGTGGTCTTACCCACATGATAATAATTGATTTTTTTGTTTTCCATTATAGAGTTGCCGAGACATCTCGAATCAGAGGAGAAAAGGGCTTATCTGACGGAATAAAAAAATGTAATTTTTTTTATGATCTTTTTACGGAATTCATTTACAATTTAAATTATACTAATTTCGTAATTTTGATACTAGATTATAACTCGCATTTGGTCCCATACTATGTTACGTTATACATTTTTTTCAAAACACTTACGACAATGTTAATTGAGATCTTTCAAGATAAAGAGATTCGAAATCGACCTGAATTAATTGGACGTTATTACCAAGCAATCAAAGCCGATAATAATTAAATAGAAAGTTTTTTTATAGGGTTATTGTGGGTTTCGGGAGAAATCGCAGAGAAACATTTGTATTTATAGGAACGATTAGATGAAGAAATAAAGCTTAATAATAGTGGTTCAAGTATTACTGTAATGAAACACACACCTCAAATTTGGTTTATCATTTGTTTATTTATATCAAGTTAAAAATAGTAAATAACATTTTTAGAAAAACTCTGGAGTCTATGAGTGAATGAAATTGATACATGCTAATTATGCTAATACATGACGTGTATTTCCAAAGAAAGTTTATTACATCGACATGCATGTAACTAATTAATATTAATTAACTAAGTAATAGCGATAGCATTTATACAGAATGAAATGCTTCTTTGTACAGCAGGAAATATTAGTTATAACTGGTGGTGTGGTAGAAGTAGTAGGCGTAGTTAGTGGTAGCAAAATCAAATCCAACTTGGAGTTCCAAATTTTTAATTAAGCGAGCAGGTATCCTAAAATGGCAAAGACTCCTCCAACGAAAACTTTTCCATTATTATTTTGACTAAACGATTGTGCACCGTTGTTTGACGACAAGCCAGATGTTGTTGGAGAACTATTTCCGGATGGTTTGTTTGCTGAAGGATTATCAGTTGGAAGAACACCACTCGGAATCAGAGAAAGATAACTACTCGGGATCAGAGAAATATAGGACTGAAGCGCGGCACTAGCTTCGGGCGGAATCCCCGTCGGAATCCCCGTCGGCATCCCCGTCGGCAATGTCGACAGTTGTTTGCTGAGACTACTGAGAATACTAGCTACGTTAGTTGGTAAACTAGTTGGAGTAGTGATACTATAAGCTGATAAGATACTATTAACATTTGCATTTGTTGGGATTGTTGTTGGGCTTGGTTCTGCCGCCGCTGCTGGACTCAAAAGAGCAAAGAAAGCTATGAGTGCTGTTGATGTTGAAATGAATTTCATGTTTGGATTATTATTAGAGTAAAAGTTTTAATAATACTATCGCTATTATTAAATCGAGAGTGATAAAAAAAGTAAAAGAACACGACTACTTCCTCTTCACGGAGGTTCTATTTATATTGGCGGCGATGTCATAGAAAGTTTATTGTTTAACCATATGTACTATGATAAATAATAATAGACTACTACATATATGAAATTCACCAATAAAAACAAACCATGGTGCTAAGCAAAAACAAGCCCCAGCAAAAATTGGATAATCTCTATGACGACTATTATATAGGCAGCGTAAAAGCCTCTTTCCATTAATGGAAACTCGTTGATTTGGGATGGTGGCGATGGTGTGTGTAACACCCTAACTAAATAAAATAGTTTGTTAACCATTAAATGTTAGTCAACTCACCGATTTCTTTTAAAATTGGACGATTTACAATACTATTACTTCCTATATCTGTCACCCGAATATTTCGGAAGAATGATTGTTGTGACTGTTCTTTGGAATTACGATAATGGAAAACTTCGATAATACAATTTCTTAGTGATACAAACAAACATTTAAATACTCAAATTGAAATCATCAAAGCATAATGGTTACATATTTTCCAGATAAAATATTCAAGTAAAAATAGTGCTGTAAAATTACCGTAAGTTATACAGAGTCACTCTTTATAGTGACTAATTAAAATCTCGATATAGTGGATTAATATTTAATAAAGTCTGTTCGATATATATAGTAGATTTACTAATTAACTCTCGATATAGTGTATATTTTACTCGGAGACTTTTTTGATGCACTATAAAGAGTGTGACTGTTTTGAGCTTGAGGAGTTTACGGAACTATTAGTTTGATGACGAAAACTACTGAATTTGGATTGTACAATGACGGCGCCGTGACGGCGACATGATGACGCCATGACCGACATGACCGCGCCAGAAACTAAATTAGAAATAGAAGGGAAGAACTTGCTGTATTGCAGGAGAGTTCCTGATAATATTCTTGATCAGATTAATAACAAAAAATAAAATTGAATATATTAATTTGTTTTAAAGAGAACTAACTATTCAATGGTAGGGAAAGGGGGATTTTTTGATCCGATTATGATTGTATTTCTCTCCTTTCTACAGCACTCGTCCTATTTAGATAGGTATTTTATTAATGGCAAATAATAAGTTGATTATTGGAATATAAAATATATTGAATGAATTGAAATACATACTGAAATTGCTATTTTTGAAATACCGTATATTCTCGAAGATAAACACCACTTTTTGGAGCCTAATTTTGGCGGATTTTGAGGATGGTGCTTAAACTCGGGACAATTTTTCTCGAAAATGTAAGAATTAATATTATAACGTGGTGCTTATTTGCACTTTTTGAGAGGTTGAACTTTAAACTGGGAGGAGGTATATTCACAAGTATAATATGTATAATATTATAAATAAGAACTCTATTATTTTTATTAGTGATAAAAGACTCTTTTTTGATATATTTTCAATAGTTTTGCAGTTTATATGATTAATAATTATTCTAAATCATATTACCATTTACAGATAATACTAAATAATATTAAAAAAATAAAGATTGAAAAATAAATGAAATATTACACATAATAATAGAAATGAAAATACAAGAGAAAATTTACAATATTAGTGATGAAAAACAAGAAAAATCAAAATTGCAATAAAAAAAATTTAATATAGTCAAATCTCTCTATAACCACATCCATTTATAGTTATGCCTTTCTATAATTATCTTAATTTGCTTTTTTATTTATATATAAATATAGTAAAAAAATTCCTTTTATAATTACATTCTCTTTCTATAGTCACCAAATTTTGCTTTTCTAAAGGTAATACTTATAGAAAAATTTGATAGTTCTTATATAAAATAACTAAAATAAATATCACATTAATATACAAATCTAAAAATAGTCACATATTTAATTAAATTTTTTGTTTTTTTATCACATAATTCACCAATTAAAAATAATAATATCTTATCAATCAACAATTAAAATTTATATCATCAAATTCTTCATAATTTAAAAAATCTAAAAATACAAGTTTTATTATCATTGAACAAAAACTGACAGAAATATTCAAGTTTAAAGTTGAGTAACAAAAAATTCAGAATTCATATTTTGTGTATAAAATTTATAATTCACCAATTAAAAATAATGATATTTCATTGATCAACAATTAAAATTTCAAAAATTTTTATATTATTGAGATCTTCATAATCTAAGAATTCTGAAAATATAAGTTTTATTATTATTAAACAAAAACTGACAGAGATATTCAAGTTTAAAATTAAGTAACAAAAAATTCAGAATTCATATTATCACTATTTGATATTTTGAATCACATGTAAAATATCATGTGATATAACTTTGATAAATATTTATATTTTCATTTATATTTATCTATAATTTTATTTTTAATTGAATTATTTTATTTACACATAATTTATTAAAATATTAGTTAATTTCTTTTAATATTGCATTATTTATTAATTCATTTTACTATCATAATATTATTGAATCTAAATTTATTCTATTCTAAATTAATTTTTGTTTAATATTAATTAATGTAATACTAATGTCATTCTAATTTAAATTGTATCACTTAGATTAAATTAATATTATACTTATCATTTCTTGGCATTACACTTTTTATAAATTAATCTTATAATTATTTTAATCTTATAATTATTTTTAAGTAATATTATTTATTATATATATCTATATTATATTTATATATATTTAAACAGATATAATTTAATATAGAATAACAAGTAATTTTACAAGTAATTTTGAAAGTAATCAAATAATAAAAGAATAAAAATTAACTAATACTTTTAAATAATTTTTTACTTATTGTTATCTTTTATTTAACTTTGACTTATTCAACTAGTAAAAGTATTTTAATAAATCATTTACACTTTTGAATTATAAAATACTTGTCCAATTAGTAGAAGTATTAGAATCTATTTCTTTTTGTACTCTCTCCTAACTATTTAGTATCTAACTTTTTCAAATACACACAGTTATTATTATTATTTTTATATAATTTTAATTAATACTATAATTAATTCATATTTCACCTATCCATATAAGAATAGAGTGGTATAATTGTAGTCTGTATAGATTACAATTATATCATTTAGTTCAGACTATAATCATCCCAAGTATGTGTTATGATGACAGAAATGCGACACTGTCATCAGTGTTGTGATGATAGAAATGCGACACCGTCGTCAGTGTTGTGACGATAGAAATACGACACCGTCGTCAGTGTTGTGATGATAGAAATGCGACACCGTCATCAGTGTCGTGATATATATTTTATGACACATTTTTGATGACAGGAATATGATACCATTGTCAGTATTGTAATATATATTTTATGACACATAGATATATTATGACACTCTAGCCTAGTCTTTCTGTGTTTTCTATTATAACCCAAATTCGATAATATTACTTGTATACCAGTTTGATACCTGTGATCGATTCTTATCGCTGGGACAGACAAAAAAAGTAAAAGTACACCTTGCGATTTATATATTATTAGTAGCAACAGGATTTTTAACTATGAGTTTGCGAATAGATATAAAATCAAAATCTAACTCAGAATCGTATTCTTCATCTAGCTTTTCTATATAAGCTTTAAAATCCTTTCCAATCTCCTGTATTAAGAGTTTATTGATAGGCTTAATATTGTAGTTTGCTTCCTCAATCTTTTGCGTTATAATTTTATCAACAGTTTGAGTTAGCACGCTCTTGCGATCTTGCATTGTTGTTATTTTATATATTGCACAAATTATTTAATGAAAAAATTAATCGCGCAATTGCTATATCCGGTTATGCTATATACATATTATCAGGTTGTGTTTTACGAGTTTAACGATCCTGATTGTGATTATATCATCATTTGTAGAGGTATATAGTCAGAATATATGGTGTTGGATATGTTATATACATGCTATCTGGTTATGCTATCAAGTCATCTTATCAGGTATATGTTATCAAATATGGATACGAAATATATCACACAAACGCTATTGATAATGCTATCATGTATATACTATCAGTTAGATATATATTCAAAATCTAATATGAAATAAGTGACGAAAAAAGCAAGTCAGCTTCGAGTATATATATAAGAAGACAGGTATATAACTCCCATAATCTCTACTATGTAGAGTTACCGAAGTTATACCCTGACCGGAAATATATCCAAAAATATACTATTAAATAGGTAGATTTCTCCCATATTTATTATAATATATTACTGAAGTTACCTACCCTGACACATACCCGAAACATATTATCAAAAAGTGAAGTGTTCTTCCATATTTATTATATAATATTACCAAAGATTACTTTACCTTGACCTATCTAAAAACACATTATTGATCATATACCTGAAAATATACCATTAAGTACATATCATATCAGATGAAGTGTTCTTCCATTTTATATATAATATATTTCTGAAGATTACTTCATTTTACCTATCCCGAAAGCATACCCAATCATACCAATTGAGATGAGGTGTTCTTCCATATTTTATATATAATATTACTGAAGATTACACCACTCGAACACATATCAAAGACATACCTAAAATTAGGGATGTTAATCGGTCCATCCCATTCAATCCGGTCCAAGGACCAATGATCCTAGACAGGACTGGATCAGATCAAGATCCTAGGATCTTGCTTGAAGGACCAATCTGGGATTTAAAATTGGGAATGATCCAGGATCGATTCTTGATTTGGATGATTCCAGATCATCCGTTAATTAGAATGATCCATTCATTATAATTGCATTATATTATCATAAACTTGGTAATAAAAATGAATAATTTGTAGCTAGAAATAAATGAGAATGTATCTCTTATACATGTCATTGAATACAATTAGTAATAATGGTAGTTAACACTCTAACTATAATAACAAAATCTCCAGTGATCACATAAATTTTCATCACCATTATCACTAGAAAAACTAATAATATAATCTGAATAGTCACCATTACTTTAACAAAAGACTTATGAATTAAAAAAAGATTCATTTGTAATCCAACTTTTGAGACAAAGTGAAGTGCGAGCTGTTTCACCATCAATTCTGTTTCGGACTGCACTAACTGTATGTTTTGCTATACTGAAAGTTAATTCAGATGGAACACTAGATGCTGGGATTGCAAGATAGTTCTGGGCCAGATGTACAAGTGTTGGATAGTTATCAGAATGAAGTTTCCACCATTCAAGAGGGTTAATATGATCTGCTTCAAGTGGAAGTCAGAAATATTGTTCAATTTCATGGGTATTATATTGATTGTCTGGTAATGAACTTTGAATAATGGCTCGAAATGTGCTACGAACTGTGATTAGTCTGAATGGTGATATTTGTATGTTATCTGGATTGTATTCATCATATACTTTCTGCAGAATAAATCTTGCATGCGACTGATCATCATGAATAAATGCTGAAAGTTTGGTACGTGGATCAAGAAGAGTTGCAATTATGGATGATTCACGAAGTAAAGGCCAATAGACTTCAAGTTTTGTTTTGATCGTCCTCGCAATTTCAACTTGACTATTAACACTTTCGATGCTGTTTCTATCTAGATGTGCAAGCAAACTCATCATCACTATGCGTACGTCACCAAGAGTTGGATAAGCTGAGCCAGACAACAATTCAGTTGCGTCATTTATTGGATGAAGAATGTCCATTGTATCCTAGAAAAAAATATATAAATAAGAATTAGCGTGATTTTAATAGATTATTAATTATATTATAAAATACTTACTTGTAATATATTGTGCTCAGCATATGTCAAATAAATATCTTGAAGATTTTGATGTTTTGTAACAAGGATATCAGTTATTATCTTTATTTCTTTGAATCGCTGAAGCATAAGATATGTCGAATTCCAACGGGTTGGTACATCAATTTTTGGCATTTTAAAGTCTTCTTCTAATGATCTGGTAATTCTTTCATGTTTTCCAAAAACAATGGTGAATTATGCAATTTGCTAGAAAAAGCACGTAATTCGGTACGGGAAATCGCTGCTTCAGAGCGGGTGGGCCTTGCATCAGTCCTACAAATTTGCAAAAAAAAGAAAGAAACTGGAACCTTTGATGATCTAGAAAAAACTGGTCGTCCACGTCTTCGAACTGACTGCTATGAAAGATATGCTGTCCAGTTGTTAATGACTGAACAGTATTCTACCACTGTAGAGGTCAAAATCAAACTTTAATCTGACCTTGGGATTGATATTTCCATAGAGAGCGTACGGCGAATATTCTGGAGAAATGGTCTATCCTCTGAAACTAAATGCAAAAAGCTGATACTCAAAA